ACGTTAATAAATATAAGTGGGGATTGGAACTTCTTCCCCACTACTGCTCTTCGAGGTGACTCGAGGCTCCCTTGATTATCATTAAACTTATGATGAATGATATAAGACGAAATGTATGAAAACACAAAAAAGACACACTCATATATTCGGGACGCCATGCTGCGTAAGACTGACGCCCCTATTGCTGAAAATTTCGTGATAATTGTGGCGTCCCACTGATCGACGCAACGCTGGAGGACGGCTGACTTTGTTGATTCTGTGGATCTTCCATTTCCTCGTCCTGTTCGCCACCCCTGCGCAATTGTTGTTGTTGCTGCACCAAATCTTCTATCGTTTTTGTCATGGCTGCGTGCTCTTTCTTCAACCGCTCGATGTCCACAATGGGCTGCTGCCGAATATTAACCCCCGTTGACGTGCCTTCTACTACCATTTGTCGGTGGTATGGGACTCCCCCTCTGCGCTGCAATGGCCCACTATAAGCTGATCTTAAACATGAGTGGGGCTGCCCTTCCCTCTCAAATCTACCGCAATTGTCACACTGATACGTAGGAATTCCCATAGCTCTCTGTCGGTCTGCCCAGACGTTCCTTCTCGTTTGTGCAAACTGTCGCTGAAGCTCTGGCCTTGTCATTCTTTGCTCTTCCTCTGTCAACCGTCGGTTTTCACGTGGGCCGAATCGCCTTTCATACCTTTCTTCACCCCATTTGCGCTCCAGTTCCGCAGTCAGCAAGCTTTTCTCCTCTTCTGTGAGTTTCTTTTTCTCCTCCCTCTGTCGCTTGAGTTCCTCCTTCATCTCTTTCAGCTGTTGTTGCAAGTCTTCAAGTGTCTGCGTTTGTTGTAGCGATTCTTGTTTCTCTGATGGAATGGGGGTCTTCTGTTTTCGAGATTTCTTCTTCTTCTTGATGCTCGGCTCAGCAACCAACACTGGAACTACTTCTGCCCTTCGATTTCCTTTCCTTTGTTCTTTTCTTGTACCTTCATTCCGATTTTCCTTTCTCTCTGGCTTGTTCTCCTCGGCCTCTGACTCAGACTCAGACTCAGCTTCAGACAATGTTTCTACACTTTCAGAATCCGAACTATCAACTGACTCATCATCCTTCTGGTTCACCATAAACTTCACGCCTTGTTGTTTCTTCGCAAGTTCATCAACTTTTATATCCTTCACTCGACTCATTTCTTTCAGCTCCTGTACTTGATCTAACAACTCCTCTAACACGCTGGTAAAAAAGCCTGCCTGCTGCATTGATTCTTCTTGAAACTCCCGAAAATCAGCCTCGAACTTTGTCACACTACCAGCTCCCATGTTCTCAATATTCATTACATTTGCTCGGTTCGCCGATGGTACTTTTGACTGTTGAGATTGGCTTTGTTCCTCTTGTAAGATTCTTTTAACCAACTCCGCTATTCGAGCCTCACTGAAGTTACATAGTGCCGAGTTTTGCTTCTCCATCATCTGTTCCATCCGCTCTGTCCATCTTCCAAATCCCATTTGTGACTCCTCGGTGCCCGTACCATTGTTTGGGCAAAAGGTATTGTGCCCGGCAGGAAGTATGAACATCGCGAGTCGAAATAGACATGTTGCTCCAATTAACCCAAATCCCACGACGAGCCACACACGATCATCCGTCTTTAATATTTCACTGATGAACCCCGAGTAGTTCTTCAGAAGGGCCTCGACGTAGATCCACGCAGTGGAAACTTGGGAACTCAACATATGATGCAACAATAGGGCACCAATTAACAGACTGGCCGCTTTGTTCCGCAAATTGATGATAACGGACGGCAAGGGGGCAAGAAAAAGCCAGAGGCAAAAGAGTATCCCCACCAATGATGTTGAGGAGCCACATGGGCAAGCCGAAAACGGAGGCGACCAGGCAGAGAAAGTCCATTTTTAAAGCAATGTTTGTGTTGGCCGGTTCAAAATATAACCCACACAGCAAGTTAGCACTCTCACTGAAGAGAAAAAACACTTCATGTCGCATGCAAAACGAGACTGTCCCTTGAGACAGGTGCAGGAGGCAGAAATAATCCATTTGACAGAAAGAAAGGACAACTTCGGGCTTCCAGCCAAAATACCTTTTGGGCCTTTCCCACGCTGCTCACCCCTCCAAAGGCCGTCGTACTCGCTCAGCAGATCGCGGACTTCTTGACGTTGAGCTTCATTCAATGGCGAATCTGAAAAATCGAGGGTCACGGAGGGCGAAGTAGCGAAAGCAGAGTTGGAAGCTGGAGGATCGACAGACGGTGGAGTGCGAAGGACAATGGGCCCGTAGATTGTATTCAAAACACGATTAGGAATGTCATGGACAGCACCAAGTTGACTCAAAAAGGGAATAATGCAATACATGGAAGATCAGTTACTACCGCACATTTTACCGACACAGTTACAGAATTAGACAACGTCACAGGTAAGTCGATCCATTTAGCCACGTCGTTAGCTTTGCCACCAACCCCATGCAACGCCCGAATGGGTGAACAGCAGGATTCATATGTAAGGAAGGGAAGAAGGATATAAGAGATAATATTTAATTGTGATCCAGAATCAACGAGAGCAAGAAACGAGGATGAACGATTGAGAAATTCAATGAATTGGAGTTTATGGACAAAATCATCGCACGAAGAATTGCTGAAAAACGAGGAAGGAATGGACGTAGACAACGAAAAACACGTAGAAGAAGGGTAGTCAGAGCTTTGCGAATTATAACGGAATGTATGTATCAGGTTAACAGTCGAAAGAATGGGCACGAAATATTCGCCGTTGGGTAGAGGAATGCGCCAAGTTAGTCATTGGAATATCGGAAGTTGCGGGCGTTGTGGGTTCTGCAGGCGTAGGGGACTGTAACAGACGATGTCGAGCTTCTATTTCCTCTTTGGCGCGTCGTAGATGTTCGTAATCGGCTAATACTTTGGCTTCATCTGTAATTGCAGCTGTTCGTAATCGTAGACCACCTTGTGATTGTGTAACGACTAAGCCTTTCGTAGTAGCTGGCGTGGATCCGTCTGTTTGCCAACGAGTTGCGATGCATTGGTGCTTTCCTTTTAATTCCGTATACAATTGATGACACACCTCACATTCAAAAACTTCAATACCCCTGGAACGCATGGATTGTGCCCAAACTTCACTTTTTCTGTTGCTGACGAGTCGTTGGACGTCACGGCGGGGAAGTAGCTTCTGTTCTTCGGAGAGTTCACCTAATGGCTCAAAATCGGAAGTTCGCAGCATCTCACGGGTTTCCATGCGTCGTTGACGTTCAACTTTCCATTTTCGATGTAATTGATCCATCGACATTTCCTTTTCTTCATCTGTCAGGAATTCAGGGGCACGTTCGGCTTGCTTGCGTTCTGCTTCCCGTTTAATCTGATATTCGACATTTTTGCAAGCCTCATGGCCTACATATGCGTTTGCCTTCATCATAACAGCCAAAAAAAGGCAGGTGCTGGATTCGAACTCGCCCCCTTTCGGTCCTACGATCCACATTCCTACCCCTGCGACAACAGTCAGTTTCTTTCTATCAATTTGGCTAGTAATCCGCTCGAGTTCCAAAGTATCTTGTCCTGTTGTTTTGCCTTTTTCTGTCCCATTTTGGGTGCACCATTTCATTTTTTTAAATTAACTCAACCTTCTGGCACAGACCTAACCCCCCCCTGTCTTCAACCTCCATTCCGTCGACACAACCTTCCTCCCAACCTTCGGGAATGAACCCCTCTCTACGCCGCCATCATGGTTTTCCTCGCCGGCACACGCCTCGTCTGCCTGGCATCCCTCTTTTTCAGGATGGATCCGCATCGCTCGCACCTTAATTTATTGGGGATCTTACTTAGTCCTCTTCGTATTGTTTTACCTTTCATTCACTTGTCCCTCATGTCTCCTCTCTTTCTTTCTTTCAGTGGTTTCCCCCCCTCTCAAGCGCGTTTAGGAGCCGTTTTCCCCCTTGGTTCCGTTAGTCTTGAGGCTCCATTCGGGAGTCCTTCCCCGTTTCCCTCCCTCATTCCTGTCCCTGTCGCTGTCAGTTGCGCTGTCTTGTTGGTTTTGTTGCGGCCTACAATTCATTGGTGGACGTTGTGGGCACCAGCCTAGCAACAAAAGTTCGTCTTCAACGTCAGGGACCCCAGCCAACCCAACAGATCCTATTCTCCTCTGTTCCCCATCTTCATTTCTTTCAGCTTTGCGGGACCTCTCCAACAACTCAAAGCCCGATTCTCACACTGAACTCAACTCCTCCATCGCCCGGCTTCAAGAATCCATCGACCAATTGCTTGTTGCCTTTGCTCTTCTTGATGGTTCCAAAGGAATTCATGCCATCCACATCGACGAATCCACTTCTTCACCCAGTCCAACAGAGATTCCACCTTCCGCACTGTCTACATCAACCCCAACCGTCAAAAGAGAAGAACAACCCAAGTCAATTACGCTGCCCATCCCCACCACTCAACCCAAGAAGATCAGTCCAACAATTCTCGCCCAACTTACCGATTTAACTCCAGAGCAAGCCATTAAAGAACTCCAGTCTCATATCAAACAACAAAGGGAAGAGAAAAGACGCCCCGTTTTCTTGACTGAAGAAGAAAAACAAATGCCAGCAGATCAACTTTATCTTCGTCTCAAACAGGCCGACTTACTTGCTCGTGAAGCCGAATTCCTGCAACATATGCCTCAACTCCCTTCCGACGTCCGGAATTGGAGTAAAGCCGACATCAACCGTTGGTTCAGGGATCAGAAGCATGAACAATGGGCCATTCGTCAAATCGAAAATGGTAAAACACTTTTCATCTGTCCCCAATGCAATCAAGCCAGAGACGCCGGAGTTCATCGCTGTGTCCCTTTGTGGAAAAGACCAACAACCCGTTCCGGACTCCCCATGCAACGTCAGACCTTCTTAACGACATCGGGCGGTAGTTTCAGAGTCAGCCAGAAAACAGTTCCTGACACCACGCGCATATCTGAACTGTCGGATCGAATTGCCAAAGCAAGAGAAAATACAACACAAGCCAACCAGCAGTTAGCCCAACTCCAAGCTCCACGTACAACTACTTCAACCACTTCAAATTCAACTCCACTTGACATCCCAGATCATCAACAATTTCCATACGCTTCTAACCCTCAACTTCAACAGTTCGTTCAACAATCATCCTCATCGTCCATCCAGTCCACCCCTCATCGATCTAACACTTGACGACGAACCAATGTCGTCCCTCGAAATCCAACAACCCCAACCACCTCCAATGCAATCCCCAATCATGTCCCAAGGTCAACAATTCCCCTATCAATCATATATTTATCCATATTACCCACCTATGTATTCCCCAACCCCCCATATATTCGTCTTCATATAACCAGCCAAATTTTCAGTCCCACCATCCATCAAACCCAACCACATAACCATATCTTGCCCATCCTCCATGAAAAACACATCCATAAGCATCAATAATAATTCATCTAAATCCAATCCCCCATCTCAATCGTCTCCAATTTTTCCCCTTCGTCGTTATTCATGTCCATCATCTATCTATTCATCCAACATAACCCCCCACAACTCCCATAATAATAATATCGATATTAATTCTCCCCCTCCCCGTCAAGTGTGTTCCCAATCCGTCTCCGTGTCCATTCTTTTCTATTCATTCGCTAGTTGCTCGCAACATCTCTCGTTGTTCCCTTCGTTTTGTTGATCTTTTCATAAATTCTATATCGATATTGTGCCCTCGTTGATTCCGGTGCCGCCGTTAATGTTATGTCCTTCGAAATTGCTTCACAAATTCCATATAGAATCCATAATCAACCTTCCTCGACGCTATCTGGTTGCACGGCTCCACAATGGATATTCTCCATTGGGGGCTCTTCTTCTTTTTCCCTTTCCAATAGTCAATCTGTCGATCTTACCTTCGCCGTAGTCAATCATCTTCCCTGGCAATTTATTCTCGGTCTCCCATTCTTTGTTGCCACTAATTTTGTTGCAGAGAATTACCTCGTCAATCGCCACGGCCCAGTGCAACTCAAATCGCAACTCCAGTCTCTTCTCATATCTTCGTCATCTACAATCAACACACTCACCGCCGAAGAAAGACAAGAGCTCCAACAACGAGTGGATGAAGCATTACAGGCTGTCGAATATCCTGAAATCGTCGATCAACTCTCACCCCCTTCTCTTGGAATTTCACGACATCTGGGCCTCCATGCGACCAAGCAAGTGCAAAGTCCTACCACATGTCATTGAACTCTCCTCAACGCGCCCCGATTGTCGAACGCCCTCGTCGTTTTCTCCGCCGAACAGGTTGAAATTATCAAGAAAGAAGTCGAAATCATGGAAAAAGACGGAATCATCAGGCCATCCCTGTTCGCCGTACGCTACGGAAGTCGTCCTGACGCGGAAGAAGAATGGGACTCTGGCGCTTTTGTGTTGATTACCGCCAACTCAATAAGGTTACTACATCCGACAAGTACCCGAATCCCCCGGATCGCAAGTCTTCTAAATTCTATCCGCGGCAGTA